CATTGCAATAAATTCTAGAATATAAAGAAATTGTAAACCGTCGGTGATGTTTAAAATTCTACCCTTCTGAAACCATCCTTATAATTCTATTCAGATATTTTTCACTTCAATTTCCATTTTGTGAAACTTTGAATAGAAATTATATTATAAACTACGCGGCGAAACTTATTTTTTTTATTCATTAAAACATGACTTAAGTCGTTATTTACAAGACTTTGAACAAAAGTTTGTTTGTATCATTTGTCATTAAAGATACATAGACAAAGAAGTATATAGGGTAAGGGCCATTTAAGGCCCCCACCCAGAAAATGTTTATCTTTACTATGGAGAGGGATAAGGCAAGGATGTTACTAAAAATATATAATTTAATTTGACCAGGCGTACCGTTGCCATGGAAACCGTCGTCAAAATCATACACCTTCAGACCTCTAAATCTGGCATCTAATGCCATCTATTGTCATTTAACCAATCTTTAATTTTGATACCAACTATATTGTCTTAAGTTAATGATAGTATGTATCCTTTTGGATATGTCAAAGTGACTATTTTACTAAGAAAATATATTTTAAATTTAATAGGGATTCCGTTACCATGGAAACTGTATTCAAACTTATTCCATTATATCTGAAATTATGGCTTTATTGACAATTAAGAGATCTGTAATTTTGGTAGCATCTATAAAATCTTCCATAAATATTTATATTTTGGATACCCTAAGATGATTTTGTACTTAGAATTATATTAAATTGATAGCAAGTCCGTTGCCATAGCAACCATTTTGTACAAACTTATTCCCTTAGATCAGTTTTTGTTGTTGTTTACCTAACAAAAGCAATCGTTTTTTTATACAATTTTTTTCCGATTTTTTTTTTTGTTGTTAAACTTTATATTTTTAGGAATAAAGAAAACAAGATAAGTTTGTTAAACTCTATGCGCCCGGTGGCAACAAAGTTCGAAAAAGCTATTTTTAGCATATAGGTTACAGTCAAGGTCACAAGATCTTTGACCTTGGTGTCATTTGAAAGCACTTTACTAGTGAAGTATGCATACCAAATGTAAAGTCTAGTGAAGTATGCATACCAAATATAAAGTCTATCTCCTATGGTTCAAAAGTTAGAGCAAAAGTTCGAAAAAAAAACACTATTTTTAGCATAAAGGTCACAGTCAAGGTCACAAGTTCATTGACCTTGGTGTCAGTTGAAAGTGTTTAGTTAGTGGAGTATGCATTCTAGTGAAGCTTAAAGATGACAACAGACAGACAAACAGAAAAACAGACAGTCAAACATATAAACAGACAGACAGGACAAAAACAATATACGCCCCAAATAAATTCGGGCGCATAAATATTTAACATTTTAACAAAAACTTGGTATTGAGGGACGTGGTTGTTGACAGGAATCAAATTGTCTCTCTTACAATTAGTCTGCCCGTTAATGCAGTCAATTCCGATAATAACTTTGTAACTTAGAAAAATTAGAAGTTTATATTCTAGTACATGTATACATATGATTTATGATTTGATAAAATCTCTAGTTCAAAGTCTTGTCAAAAATTGTTATACCATAATCATTTATAAAAATCAAATCACTGGCAGATGAAAATATGAAATGCTAAGTATTAATTGGATTTTATCAATTATCGTTTTACAGAGGAATTCATGAAAAAAAAATACATCTGTATCATTCAGCATAATTTTGCAATATGAACATTAAAATTTTGCATTGCATGATCATATTTGAAGTGCAGAAATAACTAGTGGAACGACTTATTGACTTATATTTTTTTATATTTATGAATTTTTAATTTATGATTCTGTAGCCAAAGTGTCGCCCACGTGGCGCAGTAGTTAAAGCATCTTTCGTTTAAACTGAGTTCCCGTATGTAGTAGGAGATGGCACGAAAAAGATCTCTCGCTGGTCAATTGCCTTAAGTGCCGGGTATAGGTTAGAATCTGTTGCCCTTCATCTGCAAGTGGTGGTATCTCAATATAAAGAAAAATTCTCAACAGGGACATTGAAAACAATCTATCAATCATTTTTTAATTTTCTCTTCATTGAAATCGATGGCATTTTCCTAATAACATGTACAAAAATGTTAGTATCAGAAAGGGAAGATCGTGTAAATACTGCCTACAATACATTGTTAAAAAATTCAAAAGGCATAATGATATAAGGTTTTAAAAATTAAACATAAAAATGTAACTGGAATTCATGTAACTGGCCATTGAGGAGATACACAAATTCAATGAACAGGTTTGTTTGTTTGATTTTTTTATCTACCCTTTCGAGAACTTTTTTTTTAATATTTGAAATCTTATGTCTCGATTCCGAAGTGAGATTTGAACCCTGTACTTAAGGATATTCTGCGCTATACTCTGCGACTCATGGGCAAATGATCTAACCACTGCGCCACACAGGTGCACCAATAGACCTGGCGAAATATCGGAATCTTGTTTTGATATCATAGAGGGGGGAGGGTGCAATCAGTAAAATATACTGAGTAATCAATATCTTTCTAGTATTTTGCCTCTTCGATAAAAAATTAATTTCAACTGGTACAGTGTACTTTTTTGAGATTTTTCCGAGAAGAAATACAACTACACGGGTAAGAACCTTGACTGTATTACAAACTACGAAGGTTTAAGCAATGACACATGCCACTTTCTCAACACTAAAAAAAAAATGTATTTTAAAACTTCCTATCTGTACAGTCCGGAAAAGAAATCACAATGTTTTAACTATTTAATTAAAATTAAAGGGAAATAAATATTATAATATTAAAAAAGAAATAAAATAGTTGAGGTTAAAAATACTATATCATGTTGAGTGTTACTGCAGTAATCAGTAAAAAAAAATGTTTAGACAAAGGGTATATGACCTTATGTATATGTACGTGTATAATAGGTCCTTCGTAACTAAGTATAAACCTATTTAATTTAATAATTCACACTATGATAGTTTTTATAATAACACATTAACCCTAAAAATTCAGAAATTAAATTAATGAATTTTTAGAATTAAAAATGTGATGCATTTTTATTGTTTTGTTTTTACTATATAAATAAAATGTTGATTCAAAACTTTCTTACTATTTATTTTTATCTAGGCCTATTCATTATTTTTTTTGTACATATAAATAAGTTAATTATGCAATAAAATTAAATTATAGAAATACTAATATTATTTCTATTTGAGTATTTGTACTCAACATTTATAGAAAAAAAATGTTTTAGTTGGTTTTATTGAAATTACTAATGCCCCGAACTTTTTAGAATAACGTTGAATTTTTTACACGTCTGGTTGGCCGTACATTTGTTGCCTTGTAAACAGGTAAACAATGAACGATATATGGGAAGAAATGACAACGTATAAAGTACATATGGAAATATGCACACACAATACACGTATTTTAACATGATCAAATAATTTTACAAAATGTATACTGTGTATATATTTCTTCTGTGAACGCATTTGATGTACAATAGACGAAGTTCAAAGGATTCGAAGATCAAACTCGATCATCGTTTTCCTTGTGATCCACACCCGTACATTCACACATCGACAGATCAATGTCGATCCCGATAAAATATATTCTTTAATCACAAACATGTTTCAAAAATAGATATGTCTCGAACTTTATGTCGAAAATATACATGAAGCAATCGATAGATGATGCTACCTTCGAAATAAAAAAAACTTCAACACATGTCAACGTCGTCGTCTTTCTCCGTACATGCTTGTGACGTCACGCGAGTCAGAAAGTGCTATTTTTCTCAAGGTTTTTTTAATTTTTTAAGTGTGTGCGACTTTATGAACAAGATTAATCTTTTGAATGAAGACTTTCTTTGAAAATATCTTTTACGTGTGTAAATATCTATCTTGTTCAAGGCGTCGCACATACCTAAAATCGCCGATAGCGATGCTAAAAATGCCACTTTTAGGCTTTTTCTTGTAAACTTAGTCACTTTAAGCCTTCAATTCTCTGCATATTACTTAAATCAACATATCAATTTAACCATAAACGAAAAGTATAAATTCTAATCTTTCAAAAAATATCAATTTCATTGAGGTTTATTGGCATTTAAATTGTAACAAAAACGGGGGCCAAACTATAATAGAAACCCTATATAGTTCTTTAGGCAAGGACATCCAATTTACAAAACAGAATCAATTGCAATTTAAAAACGTAAAACATTCATATTAGGTCATTACTCTACATTTCATAAAAAAAACTCATTCAAAGGGCAATTACTCTCTGAAACTCAAATTGACTATAAATTAATTTTCTTTATACATTCATCTGATTTCATCAATTATCTATTAAGAAAACTGTATTCAACTACATGTAAATGCATGTATGAAATCTTTTGAATGGTCTGTATTGATAGCATCATTCAATACCACCACGAGATGTTTGTCCATATATTTTGTCTATCAGGAGACAGGATCCAAGTAGAATTCTTCTTAGGTCAGGTCTGCAGGAAGCAATTTTAGTGGGGGGGGGGGGGGGGGGCAGTCATATTTCTTCAGTTGGGGTCACTATAAACTACCAAAATTTCCTCGACAAGCAGAAAATGTCAACATGCAGTCGTGTTATTAAAGAAATATAGGCATATACATATTATGTACTACTTGTTTTCTATTGTATTCTATATATTGTTGATGAAATGCTATATACTATATTTGGAACAGGTTCGGAATTCGGGTCGGGTTCGATGTATGTTTTATTATGTTGTATGTGTATTGAATAAACGCATGTTGTTGACACAGCTATTAATTATTCGTCCAGATAGCACGAATTAACATGGTGGCAGCGGTGCGTGGACTCTGAAAACGTCTCAACGCTCCATATCGGCAGGCGAAAGGTGACTTTGATTATTACAAACTGATATTTGTACCAGTAAAGTTTGACTTTTTGTGCAACCACGTGCATCCGCCATTTGCATATTCGAAACATGGGCGAAGCAGAACCCCAGTCCAGGTATATAACTGTCCTTTTCGATTACCGCCTGAGTTAGAATTAACAACAGGAAATGTGTCAGAAAATTATAAGAAATGGAAAAGACAGGTCGAGGTGTATCTCGCAGCTTCCGGTGGCTTAGAGAAGGCCAAAGAAGTGCAGGTAGCCATTATACTCAGTTGTGGAGGCCCCACGTGGTAGAAATTTATGACCAATTCAAGTGGGACAATGTTAATGATGAGAATGACCCCGAAAAACTGTTTGAGAAATTACAATCTTATTGTAACCCCAGATCAAATGAAGTACTTGAATCACACAGATTTTGGAAGCTCCCATACCAAGATCCATTTGACAGTTTTCTCACAGACCTGAAGACCCGTGCAGCATCTTGCAACTTTAAAGAACCTGAAAGAATGATGAGAGACAAAATAGTGTTCACGGTCACTGGAAAGTTACAGGAACTTCTACTCAGAGAGGACAAACTCACACTCGACAGAACTATACAAGTATGTAGGGCGTATGGACAATCGAACAGACAAGTGAAGGAACTACGTGAAACCACTCTGAAAGTGAACAAGCTACAGAAATCTGACAAGTACATGCACAGTAAACAGAAGACAGAGAAAAAGAAGGAAATTCCAAAGACTAAACAAACTCCGTATAAGAAGAAGGACTGTGAATTCTGTGGGTACAAACACGAACCAGGAAAACAAAAGTGTCCAGCATGGGGAAAGTGCTGTGAACAATGTGGTGGAAGGAATCACTTCAAAGCAAAGTGTAAGAAGATACATTCAGTCTGTCAGGAAGAAGAATTCAACGAGGACCAATGGTTGAAAGCCGTAAGTTCTGGTGGCAAAGAAGTGACTGCAATAATGCGTATCAATGAGTGTGACATTAGATTTCAACTCGATAGCGCCGCAGATGTGAATACAATCTCTCAGCGTTATGTCCGCAAGGAGCAATGCAAGCCCACTAAAATCCGCTTGAACATGTGGAACAAGACAAACATGAAACCGCTTGGTGAGGCAGATCTGACAGTCATCAATCCACGTACAAATGAGAAGCACCAACTCAGATTCATTGTCGTTCCAAATCATTTTACATGTTTACTTGGACTTGAAGCGGGGCAGAAATTGAAGTTGATTACCATAAATAACGAGAAATTCATAACCAGTGTATCGAGCAGTGACTTAGGTGATTTGGGAACAGCGCATCTACATGTCGACCCAAACGTGAAACCCAAAACTCTTCCCTGCAGGAAGATCCCTATCGCACTTCAGAGTTTGGTACGTGAGGAACTTCAGAAGCTTGAAGATAGAGGAGTACTTATTCCGATCACAGAGCCTACTCCATGGGTCAGCCAGATGGCTATTGCTCGTAAAGCCAACGGCAAGCTAAGATTGCGTATTGACCCACAAGCACTCAACACAGCATTGATGAGAGAACATTATCGCTTACCTGTTCTTGATGACATTCTACCACAGCTCAGTAAGGCCAGAACCTTCACAAAACTTGACGTCAAAGAGGCTTTTTGGCATGTGAAGTTGGACGAGGAATCCAGCAGATTAACGACAATGATAACTCCTTTTGGAAGGTATAGATGGGCGAGACTACCTTTCGGACTAAAGGTATCAAGTGAAATATTCCAGAGGAAACTGGACGAAGTATTTGGAAACATGACAGGTGTTTTCAGCGTGGTGGACGATATCATCATAGCGGGCTGTGGAGAGAATGACGGAGAAGCTGAGCAAGACCATGATTTAAAACTGAGAAAAGTGTTGGAGAGATGTGAGGAGAGACGCATCATCTTGAACAAAGAAAAACAAGAGATTGGACTGAAAGAAATCTCATTTCATGGACATGTTATTTCAAGAGATGGAGTAAAAATTGATGACAAGAAAGTAAAAGCCATCAATGAAATGCAACCTCCTACTGATGTATCAGGAATCAAGAGACTGTGTGGCATGGTCCAGTACATGGCAAAGTTCCTTCCAGACCTATCTACCATAATGGAGCCACTCAGAGAACTCACTCGCAAAGATAAGGCATGGCATTGGTCTAAAGACTGTGAAGCAGCATTTCAGAGAATCAAGAAGATGCTGACAGAAACTCCTGTACTAGCGTACTTTGACCCTGGAAAGGAAGTAGTAGTACAAGTGGACAGTAGTAAAGACGGCATTGGTGCAGTTCTCCTGCAGGAAGGTAGACCAGTGGAGTATGCATCTAGATCATTGACAGTGTCCGAGAGAAACTGGGCGCAGATCGAGAAAGAAGCGTTGTCAGTGTTATACGGTTTGGAACGTTTTGACCAGTATACATATGGCCGTAATGTGACGATACAGAATGACCATAAACCATTAGAGGCCATCCTGAAGAAACCTCTAGCAATGGCACCAAAGCGACTACAGGATATCATGATGAGATGGAACCGGTATGACTTTGACTTTGTATATGTCAAGGGAACTAACCTTACAATAGCAGATACTTTGAGTCGCGCATATCTGAAGAGTGAAGAGGGTAATGTTAGTGAGAGACTTAGAATCATGGCATTGAAGAGTGACGAACCATGTGATATTCCTGATGCTCGCCTAAGTGAAATAAAGGAAGCAACAGAGATTGACGAGGAAATGCAAATTCTCAAGGAAACCGTGACGAACGGGTGGCCAGAGCAGAAACATGAAACGCCACAGAGAATTTACCATTACTTTGATTTCAGAGACACTATATCATTTAGTGATGGACTTATGCTCAAAGGGGAAGCTGTAATTATCCCTAAATCTTTGAGGAGTGAAATGAAGACCAGACTTCACAAGGCTCACTTTGGATATGATAGCATGCTGAGGAGGGCAAGAGGAACAATATTTTGGCCTGGAATGAAATCAGATATCAAGCAGTTGGCCGATTGTTGTTCAATATGTCAAGAAAGAAAACCAAAGAACCAAAATGTTCCACTGATGCAGCATGCAGAAGGATCTACTCCATGGCAGAAAATAGGACTTGACCTGTTTGAGCTGAATGGAAAGCATTATTTGATTGCAGTTGACTATTTCTCAAGTTTCATCGAAATTGATTTGCTTACATCTTTGACAAGCTCCAAAGTAATAGCTTTACTCAAGAAACAATTTGCTCGATTTGGAATTCCAAATGTAATCATGTCTGATGGAGGACCACAGTTTGTAAGCCAAGAATTCCAAGATTTTGCAAAGAAGTGGGGTATCACTCACATGACATCATCGCCGATGCATCAACAAGCCAATGGCAAGGCCGAGTCAGCTGTCAAATTCATGAAGACATTGTTAAGGAAATGTGAAGTTGAGAAGGCTGATCCTTATGAAGCAATTCTCGAGCAAAGAAATACACCAAAACAGGATACTGGTATGAGTCCTGCAGAAATTATGTTTAACAGGAAAGTGCGTGGCATGATTCCACATTTTCCACAGAAACTCGAGAAACCAGAAACTGATGCATTCATCAAGAAGAGGAATCAACGCAGACAGACAGTAAACAAATCATTTGACAGGAAGTCTCGCGAGCAGAGTGAATTGGACGTTGGTCAAGCAGTATTCTTCCAGCATCTAGAGGGACGCAACTGGAGACTCGGGGAAATCAATGGTATTCTTGGACCAAGGACATACATCATCAAGGACCAGAATGGAACCACCTATCGTAGAAACAGAATTCATGTGCGACCTACCGCAGTCAATTTCTACAGTCGTGACCGCTCACCGATGCGTTCAGTCCCAGATGATAATTCAGACGGCATACAGAGAAACATTGTAACAGACTCTAAGCCAGTGAACAATCCGAACTCTACCGTTAGCGTAAGCGCACCAGAAACACCGTCCGTTGAACTTACCGTACCAACGCCAACTGAACCGATTCGTGAAGGAAGACCTGTGCGCGAAAGGAGAAAACCAGCTTATCTGAAAGACTATATTACTGGTTAATGGACTTTGTATTATGATATTTAGTCATTTAGTCGTTTGATTTTCTAGTCATTGTGTACATGTAAATTGCAATTAATCATTTTGTGTCTATAGGTCGGATACTGAACATTTCAGTGACATTTTGTGCTAGATAAGTGCATTATTCATTTTATGTGTGTAAAATGATGAAAGTTTATTTGTTTATGAAATTTGATGTTTTGAAGAAATTTTGACAAATTTTCTAAAGAAAAGGGGATGTTGATGAAATGCTATATACTATATTTGGAACAGGTTCGGAATTCGGGTCGGGTTCGATGTATGTTTTATTATGTTGTATGTGTATTGAATAAACGCATGTTGTTGACACAGCTATTAATTATTCGTCCAGATAGCACGAATTAACATATATCGGCAAAATTGTTTGGGGAGGGGGCAAGGTTCAATATTCACTTGGTGTATCATGCACAGAAACGTCATCATTTCCGTCTATTATGTTACACTTTTTCATTGGAGATATCTGAGGGTATTGTTTAAACTTTAACAGTTTCAGTGCATTCCAATTGACGACCTGATAAATGACGTGTTCAAACTTTATCCACTTTTCAACCTGATTTTTATTAAATGGTTATATAGGTATTCCATACAAATTCTCGGTTGAAACATCTTTGATTGCTTTATCCCATATTAACCATTTTTATGGATTTTGTTTCTCACCGTAGGAAAATACTAAGCAGAATAAAGTCCTTAATATCTCGGATAATTTATTTTATTTAAGAAAAATAATTTCTAAATAAAAATGACATCATCTAAACAATTGTTGAAATTTTCAGCTTAGTACACGTGCACTGTATTTTCTTCAAAACAAAAACAACACCATTCCCATCTCACAACCCATAAAACAATCGATAAAATATTTAATTGAGCATTGAATTCATATTGTTGGATGTCTTTGGTCCTAAAACACATCTGGCCGTGCCGACAATTTGAATACCGCGCGATAGCGAGGTATGATAATTTGTCCGCACGACCAGGTGTTATAGGACCGAAGAATCCAACAATATGAATTCAATGCTCAATTAAATATTTTATCGATTTTATCCAACAATTTCTTAAATGAGGTAAATTATTGACAAGCAAGTTGATGAAACAAGAATATCAACAGTCTCGTTTAAAGTCATCATTTCGTTAATTCTATGGTCGATAAAATGACTTTGTCAGCAAATACAATTTATCATTGAGTCAAATGCTGACTGACGTTTTTCATACCAATTGTTAGTCCATTATTTATACACTGAATTGACGACGGATTTTTTCCGTTATTTCCTGATCATGACAACGAGCACACGGCGGGTGTGACCGGTCGGCAGGGGATGCTCACTCCTTCATGGCACCTGATCCCACCTCTGATGTTTCGGAGCTCCGTGTTTGCTGTGCTCTTATTTTGTATATTGTTTAATGGACGTTGAGATTGAATACTGTTCGTTATATCCATATCCTTCCTACCAATAAGATTTTGCACAAATTCTGCTTGATATGACTATAGAAACTTTTATTCATCAGGTTTATTATCTACGTAAAGAAAAATGGGTGTCAAATTCATTAAATAAAGAGTGTCACGTATATTAAATGCTTACAGCGACGGTATTCACCGATTTCTATAAATATTTTCGTATAACACGTGCAGCTTTGTTTAATGAATTAAAGAAAACATACAAAAACAAAATTAAACGAAATTTTCTTCGATAAAATTAAATACAAACATTGACACACATTCAGAATTGTCTGAGAACTATTTATCTATTCAATGAAACACAGATATTGACATTTATATAAAGTTATCTAGAAATCAAAACGGTGCAATTGCTTTTTATTTTGTCTATTCAGTTACATGATCCATTTATAAAATATATTTATATTGATTACGACAGTAGATATTGTATGAATTATATCCTTTTATACAGTGCTGAAATCAACACTGAAACTGAATGAAATTTAATTATGACCTACACTGCATTAAGTAACTCTTGATATCTGTTCAAGTAGTAAATCAGACACAAAGGTGTTCACCTTACTATTGGGTTTTATAAACTCTGTTTGAACACAAACAACGAATTCCTGTTTATTTATTTAGTCAGTATTAAATTCATTTGCAATACATACCGAAGTTCACAATTTTATGTTTTCTGTCAATGTTTTAAAAAAAATAATTTGGTTCTTATTTCCTTTCAAAATTGAGGTGTTTTGCTGAAATAAATAAACGGTTTTAACTTTAATATCAAATTATATATTTCAATGAAATAGGTAAATTATTTATAGTAATACAATTGCGCATTTGCTGATAGTAATTAAAATCCAAAGCAATCAGTCTTGAAGTATTTTGTATGCATATGGTTGAGGATAAAACATTTATTGGATGTTTAATTAGTATAAGAATCAGATATATCAGACTCAAAGATATGTTATATTTTGAAATCACTGGGATATATTGAGTCGAAATATTACAGAGGCAGCTATAGTTTATTGATTTTATTATCTAATTGTGGACCATACTGAGTATATAACAATAACGCAAGGAAGCTCTAAACACAGGTATAAAGTTGTTTTTTTTACTTGGAGAAAATAACTTCATATAATTTTGCGCATATTGAAACAATTTCAATCATTTTCAACATAAGTAACGTGCCTTTATTCTTCGGAAACAGAAAAAAAATCCACTTTGCTTACACAGGGATATTGCTGTTTTCTTTCATTTGAAAGTTACCGGAAATAATGAATTCATTAACATATTATCCAACCTACATAATCCTAGTATATTCATTCTATTATTTATTGTGTAATTAATTGTAATTATTTTCTTATATTTACTTCTGAGGGCGGATCTCTCTAACAGCATAAACTACCCTACAACTCTTCGGTGTTCTGTGTTTATAACTTTCTGAAAAATTCTATTGAAAGGCTGTGCATCTCTGGATTAGATTACGAATTGCTTTTAAGAAAGAACATGCTAGAGATATTTTTAGAAATGCTCTAAAAGCAGGAATTTAAAGAATAACAAGAAAATAACTTTGGTAACACCTATGGAAAAGCAACAGCATACGGCAAGCGATTCTGGCAAAACGTAAGATAGGTTAATACCCAATTAAGTCCACTATTTTGCATCGTCTTTTAGAATAATACAACAATTTATCAATTAAAAGCTATTGCCATCCCTGATAAAAAGAAATAGGATTAGTTTTTGGTTACTTGATATACGGTAGGCTCAGAAAATCTGAAAAAGTGCAAATTTCCAATTTCTTATTTTTATGAGAATTTTGTTTTTAAAAAGAGCACAGGCTTGCCAATGTGCCATTTTATATGCATATATCATACGTATATCATACGCTTATATCAGATGCATTTTAGATATAAAAATTTCAGATGTTTTTCCGAAATGAAAATTATCTCAAATTTTATGAAATTCCGATAGAATTGAGAAAAGTTGGGAAAACTTTCCAATTCTGGGCCTTCTTGTGGCCTCTGTTTAAAATCAAAATAAAAGCCAATTTTTAAAACAAACATTCATATCAAAATTGTAACTGTGTTTTGGTTTTTACATCATTTGGAACTTTTTTAGGAAATGAATCAGTCAATAAACCAAAAACTCCATTCAATAAGTCTTTGTGTTGACCAGGAAAAAAACAAACACACAAAAACTACATAAAAGTCTATGTATGTATGCTTAATAAATCAGTATTTAAACTTCTAAAGACAAAAAAAAAATCAATGTAAACAAATAAAGTTGTCAATATCATAATTTATCCTTAATTAAAGTAGACGAACATTCACAAACGTAGCATTACATAAATGAATATTATACTCCTAGAGAACGGAATCTCATTTGTATGATGATTTAAGAACCCTCTCTACACTGCACACTAAAGAGTTCTGATTCTAAGGTATTTTTCTGCAGTAAGAGTGATCTGCCCTTAGATCTAAATTCTAAAAAATAGAAATTTATACAATATTACTCAATTTGTAATCAATTCAAATATTCTCAACAATTTAAAAGGCCAAGATAAATTAACTGAACATGTTATTTACATGTATTTTCTCTATTGAAGTTATTTACAGTGATTTTTATTCACTGATACTGTGTTGTCTTTGAACATTTTTCCCGGGGGTAAATGCCACGCACCATATATTGAAAATTAAATAAATAAGCTCAATATTAACTCCTTTATACAATATAATTTTCTCAATGTCCAAAAAAAATTTTGCAGTCGTGTAGAGAGGGTCCTTAACTAAATATTTGAAGTCTTGTGGCGAAAAATATTTCTAAACTCTCTACCCATTTATATACATTTCAAATATTCATGTGAAGCCCACTCAAAATCCCTGATAGGAGGAATAGGATATAAAATATGATAGCTTTATTTTCTTTGATTTTAGAAAATTTAATGTTTTTATGAACGTCTGCCTCCCTCAGGAATAGAAATAATCCTACGAAAAATTAAGCAACGTTAAAAACTACATCCACAATTATAAAATTCGACAAATATTCAAAGATGCTACTTTTAAAAGCTTTTTTCATATGACACTTTTATATTTCCAGATTTATTAAAATTATTTTTGGTGAGGGGTTCGCTTACTTGGTAAATAGTTTTTTTTACCTAGTAGGTGTAAAATGAAGATGAAGGCAACAAGACTTTTAATATGATCATTCACAAAACAGTCACACCACATTTACCCAAAAAAAAAAAAAACACTAATGCATTGATAAATTGAATTTAATATGTGTGTAATATGTGTGCAATGTTCTCATTTTATTTTAACGATATTTTGAGCAAAATTAATTCAATATTAAAATGCACATTAATAAAATTCCTTTTAAGCTAATTGAGGGCCTGTGTAAATATGAATAATGACCCCCATCGAATAATGAACAGTTTTTCATATTTCTACGACAGAAAATGACCCCAAAAGACAAAATTTTCACGAATTGTGGTCATAGTTCTATATAATCTTATGGAATTCTATTACACGCGAGAATGAAATGTTCGCGAGCATACCGTCTCGCGTAATTACGCGAAAATAAAGTTCTCGCGAACAAAAAGTGATTTACAGTATGTGGCTGGCTCCTGGGTCAGTGGTTCTGCTGGGTTGGTGTGCACAACTTGTGGTTATATCAAGTGAAAATGCATTTTCTCTCTGTAACTCTTTGGGAATTAAGAAACCAAATTAAGCATGCTACGTGTACATTGGTTTCTCTTTTAAAATTGTGAATTTCAAGGCTTTTGGTTTAAATTGTCAAACCAAATTCAGTTGCTGAAAAGTTGTTACATGTTACT